TATTATTATTATTATTATTATATATTATTATTATTATTATTATTATTATTATTATTATTATTATTATTATTATTATTATTATTATTATTATTATTATTATTATTATTATTATTATTATTATTATTATTATTATTATTATTATTATTATTATTATTATTATTATTATTATTATTATTATTATTATTATTATTATGATTACCAGCATCCTCCTCCCTCTTATTCCTCTCCTTTTCTCACGCTTTCCTCTCTCTTCCCCTCTTCTTCCTCGACGTAATCCGTCTCGCTGTCGCCCTTCACCCTCGCACGCCCGCCTCCTTCCGACCCCGCCCACCTGCTTCGAACTCCGCCCATCTCCGGACCACGCCCACTCCTGGTGTAAAGCTCTCTTTCGCCTCCTTTCGTCTTCTCCTCTTTCTTCTCTTCTCTTCTCTCGCTTCTTTTTCTCTTCTCTCATCTCTTCATTCTCCTTTCGTCTCTTCTCCTCTCTCGCTTCCTTTCTCTTCTCTGTTTCCTTTCCTCTTCTCTCTTCTCGCCTCCTTTCGTCTTCTCTCTTCTCTTCATTCTCCTTTCGTCTCCTCTCCTCTCGCCTCCTTTTCTCTTCTCTCTTCTCTTCATTCTCCTCTCCTCTCCTTTCGCCTCCTTTTGTCTTCACTCTTCTCTTCATTCTCCTCTCCTCTCCTCTCGCCTCCTTTTCTCTTCTCTTCTCTTCATTCTCCTCTCCTCTCCTCTCGCCTCCTTTCTCTTCCCTCTTCTCCTTTCCTCTCCTCTCCTTTCGCCTCCTTTTCTCTTCTCTCTTCTCTTCATTCTCCTCTCCTCTCCTCTCGCCTCCTTTTCTCTTCTCTCTTCTCTCCATTCTCCTTTCCTCTCCTTTCGCTTCCCTCCCCTTAACCCTCTTCCCTTCTCTCTTCCTATCCCTCACTTCCGTCCTGGATGGCCTCCCCTTCCCTTTTCTCTTCTTCGCGGCCCAGCTTCCCCTCCCTCCTCCTCCTCCTATTTCCTCTCACTGCCTTTCCCTCTCCCCCTTATCCCCCTCCCCTTTGGCTGCTCTCTTGCCTCCCCTTCCTCCTTCCTCTCTCCGCGTCCGTCTCACTCGCCCCTCCCCCTCTCCTCCCTCTCCGGATCTGTCTCACTTTCCCCTTTCTCCTCTCACTCATCTCTCTCCCCTCCCTTTCATCTACCCTCCTCCTCTCCCCCTCTCCCCTCCCTTTCTCCTACTCTCCTCCTCTCCTCCCCATTTTATCCTACTTTCCCCTCCTCTTTCTCCCTACTTCCCACTCCTCTCCCTCTCCCTACCTCTCTCCTACCTCTCACCCCTCCCCTCCCCTCTCCCCTCCCTCTCCCCTCTCACCCCTCCATCTCCCTCTCCCCTCTCCCCTCTCAGCCCTCCCTCTCCCCTCTCCCCTCTCAGCCCTCCCCCTCCTCTCCCCTCCCTCCCCTCCCCCCCTTCTCCCCTCTCACCCTTCCCCCTCCCTCTCCCTCTCCCCCCTCCCCCTCCCTCTCCCCTCTCACCCCTCCATCTCCCCCTCCCTCTCCCTTTCCCTCTCCCCTCTCACACTGCCGGCCGGTAAGGAGTCGTTATCACCATCCTGCTTAATTCCGTGTTCGTGTGTTAGGCAGGAGTGCGCTAACCTCATCCCGCCCCCTCCGGTTCTCTGGTTCACTGGTTCTTTGGTTTTCTGGTTCGCTGGTTCACTGGTTCTTTGGTTTTCTGGTTCGCTGGTTCGGTGGGTAAAGGGTGGATTGGTTGATGGCTTCGCTGGTTCTTTCCGGTTCGTTGGTTGACTGGTTCTTAGTTGCTCTGGTTCACTGATTCGGTGGTTGATTGGTTTTCAGGTTCTCTTTCTCGCTGGTTCTCTAGTTTTCAGGTTCGGTGGTTAGGTGGTTCGTTCGTTCTCTGCTTTACTGGTTTTCAAGTTCACTGGTTTCCTGGTTCTTTGGTAAGCCGGTTCTCTCGTTCTCAGGTTCACTGGCTCTCTGATTTACTGGCTCTCTCGTTCTTTGGTTAACTGGTTCTCAGGTTTACTGGCTCTCTGGTTAACCGGTTCTCGCGTTCTTTGGTTAACTGGGTTTCAGGTTCACTGGTTCTCTCGTTCTCGTTCAAGTTCACAGGTTCTCTCCTTCTCTGGTCAACTGGTTGTCAGGTCCAATGGTTTGTTGGTTTTCTCGTAGTTAGCTGGTTCACTGGTTATCTAGTTAACTGGTCTTCAGGTTAACCGGTTCTCTCGTTCTTTAGTTAACTGATCTTCAGGTTAACCGGGTCTCTCGTTCTTTAGTTAGCTGGTTCTCAGGTTAACCGGTTCTCTCGTTTTTTGGTTAACCGGTTTTCAGGTTTACTGGTTCACTGGTACACTGGTTCTTTGGTTAACTGGTTGTCAGGTCGAATGGTTTGCTGGTTTTCTCGTTGGCTGATTGGGTAGTTAGCTGGTTCTCAGGGTCTGTGGTTCGCTGACTCGCTCGCGGCCTGTGAGTTCTTTGCACGGTTTGCAATGGCTGATCGTATTTTTTTTTTTTTTTTTTTTTTTTTAACTGTGTTTCTTACTCTTTATTTTTATTTTTTATTCATATTCGTATTTATATTTATATTGTTATTAGCGTTATTACTACTTTTCTTTTCATATTCGTATTTATATTCATATTATTCATATTCATATTATTATCAGTATTATTCATATTCATATTCATATTATTATTATTATTATTATTATTACTACTACTACAATTAGTATTTTTATTATTGATGTTGGTGTTATTATTGTTATTGTGCGATTGTTTTTATTATTTCATATTGTTTATAATTTCTTTTTTATTTCTCTTTACTCTTGATCTATCCCGGCTGTCTTTGTTATCATAATCATCATTATCTTTCTTCTTATTATTATCATATTGTCCTTCTCTTTTCTTGTCCTGTTCTTTTCACGTCATGCAAACCTGTGTTATTTCTTTGTCTTCTTTCTTGTCTTTTTTTTTGCTCCTTTTCATTTATTTTCTTTCTTTGTTTTTATTTCTTCTTTTATTTTCGCGAGGCTGGTTGTCCTCCTCTTTATTCTTGATTTCTTCGGGTTTTTTCCTTGTTATCTTTTCCCTATTCTTTTCTTTTTTTCCCTATTCTATTTTTCTTCTTCTTTTTCTCTTGTGGTATGCGTCATCTCGCTTCATTCTCTTTGCGGGCGTGGGTGGGCGTGTGTGACTCATGGCGGAAGCTGGTGTGGGGGGGGAGAGATGGGGAGGGATGGGGGTGGGAGGGGAGGAGGAGGATGGGGTGGGGAGGAAAGGAGGGAGGGGAGGGTAGGGAGGGAAGGAGGAGAAGGTGGGGTGGAGAGGGGATGGGGAGGGGAAGGGAGGGTGGGGTGGAGAAGGGAGGAGAGGGGATGGGGATGAGAGGGTGGGGGGAGGGGAAGGGATGGGTGGAGGAGGAGAGGAGGGCAGGCAGGGAAGGGAGGAGAGGGTGGGGGAGGGGAAGGGATGGGTGGGTGGAGAAGGAAGGAAAGGGGATGGGAAGGGGAAGGGAGGAGAGGGTGGGTGAGAGGGGGAGTGGAGTGGAGGGTAAGAGGATACGAAGAATAGAGGTAATATATTTTTTTCTACTTCGTATTGTTTATCTGTCTTTCTCCCTCTCTTCCCCTCTTTTCAATCCTCGTGCCTGGTCCCCATCATCGCCCTTCCTCCCCTCTCCCTCTTCTTTCCTGCCCCATCCCCATACCATCTCTCTCCCTGCCTCCTTTCCTCCCATCTCTCCCTTCTTCCCTCTCCCATTTCTTTCTCCCTTTCCCCTTTCTATCCACCCTCTTCCCTCCCTCCGCCTTCTTCACCCTTCCTCCCTCTCATTTTTTCTTCCACCCTCCCCTCCCCTTCCTCCTCCCTTCCCTCCCCCTTCTCCCCTCTCTCTCCTCCCTCCCTTCCCTCCCCCTTCTCTCCTCTCTCTCCCCTCCCTTCCCTCCCCATTCCCCCCCACCGTCCCACCCATCCCCCCTCCTTCCTCCCTTCCCCCTTCCTTCTTCCCTTCTCCCTCCTTCCCACCTTCCTCCCTCCCTCCCTTCCCCCTCTTTCTTCTCCTCCCTTCCCCCCTCCTTAAACTTTCTTAAACATGAAAACTTTACATTCTTTGTCTTCTTTGTTCCGAGTCTTTATCCACTCGTAATTTAATTTCATGTTTTTTTTTTTATCTTTCCTTTTTCATCTTGTTTTTTTTTAAATCTTTTCTCTTCTTTTCTTTTCTTTTCTTTTATCTTTTTTTTTTCTTTTTATCTATTTTTTCTTCTTTTCTTTTTTTTTCTTTTTATCTTCTTTTCTTTTTCTCTTTATCTTCCTTTTTTCTTTCGTATTTTCCTTTTTTTCTTTTCTTTTCCTTCCGTGTGGTCACAAAGGGCTTGCAAGCGATGGTCGGAATCAGGTGACCTTAATTAAGGACTCTCGACCTTAATGACGCCGTGATTGTCGCGTATTTCAATCTGGGCTTAATTGGCTCTCCCCTAATTATTGGTGTATGTGTGTTGGGTCAGAGTGGTTGTCTCTCTCTCTCTCCCTTTCTTTCTCTTCCTCTTTCTCTTTCTTTCTTTCTCGCTTTCTCTCTCTCTCTCTCTCCATCTGTTCCTTTCTCTACTTCCTTCTTTTATCTCTCTGTGTCCCTCCTTCTATTAATTTCTTCCCTTCATTTATCCATCCATCCCTTTCTATCTTCCTTCTCTCCGCCCTCCCCCCCTCTCCGTCTCTTCCGTAACTCCCTCATCTCTCTCTCCCTCTTCCTCCTTCCCTCCCTCTCCCTCTTCCTCCTTCCCTCCCTCTCTCTACCTCTTCCTCTCCCTCTTCCTCCTTCCCTCCCTCTCTCTACCTCTTCCTCTCCCTCTTCCTCCTTTCTCCCTAGCCCTCACACTCCCTTTCCTCCCTTACCCCCCTCTCCCTCCTTATCCCTCATTCTCCCTCGCCCTCCTTCCTCCTCCCTTCCTCTCGCCAGTCGTGTGTGTGGCACTCGCTGGCACTGTCCGCTCTCGGTCAGCTGCGGAATGGCTCTCCGGGGCCCTTTGATCCCCTCGGCTCCCGGCGCGCGTGGCCCATCCCTGACGAGGCTGACGGGCGCGCCAAGGCTGACACCCCCGGCCCGCGTGCCTCTGCTGACTTCGCCGCCCCCGCCGCCGCCGCCGCCGCAGCCTCGGGCGTCCGTGCTGACCTCGGCGCTGCCTCCGTCGGCGTGGCGGGTTGCCTTCCCGACGCCTCCGGCTCGTGTTGCCGTGCTGACGCCTCCTGACGCCCTTCGTCTCGCTTCGCTGACGCTCCGACCTTCTCTGAGACTTTCGCCGCGTTTGCCTCGCCTGCGGTTGACTCGACGCGTTCCTCTGCTGACGCGGCTGACCCCGCTGCCCGCCCTGACACCCCGTCAGAGTATCCCTGCGCTGACGCCCTTGTCCCGCGTCCCTCCGCTGGATTCTCCTCCTGACGAGATACGCGCGAGAGGGCTGACACCGCTGAGGAGGGAGTCCATGACGTCAGTCGGTGGCCGGTGTCAGCAATCCGATTCTGCTCACTGTTGTCAGGAGTAAGGAAGGACGGACTTGAGTACACGCACAGACTTTGCGGCTGTGCTTGTGATGTGTATGCGTGTATGTGTGTATGCGTGTGTATGTGTGTATAGTGTGTATGCGTGTATGCGTGCGTATGTGTATATGTGTGTATGTGTGTATGCGTGTGTGTGTGTGTGTGTGTGTATGCGTGTGTATGTGTGTATGCGTGTGTATGCGTGTGAAGGCGTGTATGCGTGTGTATGTGTGTATGCGTGTGAAGGCGTGTATGCGAGTGTACGCGTGCATGCGTATGTTTGTCTAATTCCCGTATTCATGGGATTGCACGTAGATCCACCTGTGTGTAACTTTGCCTGTGTCCGAACGCTTGACAGCAAAGACGCCCAACTTGGAGCAAAGGCCAACGAACTTACGAACTCAGGAACTTTAGGACGAAGTCAAACAGCGAACGCCACCGCCGCTGAAGTGAGTGAAGTGAGGAGAGTGAGTGAAGTGAGGAGAGTGAGTGAAGTGAGGAGAGTGAGTGAAGTGAGGAGAGTGAGGAGAGTGAGGTGACTTCCTAGGTTCTATCTCGGTGCAGTGGGCGAGTCATTCTGAGTCGCTAGGTCCAATGAGTCTTATCTTATCGTATTTATCACGTATATATTCGTGTTTTTGTGTGTGTGTGAATTTTCTTTTTTACGCGATATGTGAGATTTTGTGTTTATTGGTTTACTTTTATTTTTTTTCTTTCTCTTTTTTGTATTTATTATTATTATTCATCCTATAATCCTTGAGAAAAAAGAACTAGTTACTTATTGATTGAGACTTTTTTTGTATTTATTATTATTCATATATTTATTATTATTCATCTTTGATCCTTGAGAAAAAAGGACTAGCTACTTATTGATTGAGACTTTTTTTATCTATTATTATTCATGTATTTATTATTATTCATCCTATAATCCTTGAGAAAAAGACTAGCTACTTATTGATTGAGACTTTTTTTGTATTTATTATTATTATTCATCTTAAAATCCTTGAGAAAAAAAGTCTAGCTACTTATTGATTGAGACTTTTTTTTTGTATTTATTATTATTCATGTATTTATTATTATTCATTCTCTGATCCTTGAGAAAAAGGACTAGCTACTTATTGATTGAGACGCATCGCCCTATGAATAAATTATGCAAATCAGGATTCTTGCAAAATGTAACCTTCATCGTAAAGGCAAATAATCGCATAAAAAAAGAAAAAAAATCGACTTTAGATATTTGTAAAGACGCTTAAGTGGATTATGGAGTAAAGTGTCATGTATTTGTTTGTTTGTTTGTTTCCTCCGCCAAGGAAGTTATGGTTTTGGGTAGGATTGGTTAGTTAGTTTGTTTGTTAGTGTGTTTGTTGTTTGTGACAGGGGCACTCAAAAAGGTATAAATAGATTTTTTTGACATTTTTATTTTATTTTATTTTATTTTATTTTATTTTTATTTTTGTCTTAGCTCAGATTAGCTGCTAGTAAATTTTGGTGTTGATCTGGATCGGGGAAGGCTGGATCAGTAGCAACTCGAGGAGGTGTCATGACGTCTGATTCTATTTTTGGTAAAAAAAAAAATTGATGACGTCACAAAAGTTGCGGATACTTTGTTAATAGGGTCGATCGTTTTGGTCTTTTCAATTTTCAAAAAGGATGGAAAGTAGTGATTTGAATGGTTGTATTTTCATTGAACAATCGTCCAAATAGCTCTGTGGACGTCATGACCCCTCCTCGAGTTGCTACTGATCTAGCCTTCCTCGATCCGAATCCAGGATTTTTAAAAAATGATTGCATCAGTTACCCCTATTGCTGTGGCGGAGGTATGCGTTCTCTGGGTACTTCTAGTTTTGGTAATTTGTTCGCTTTTTTCATATTGGGAATTATAAATGTTATCGTAGTTTTAGGTAATAAGGTATTGTGTATTTATTTATTTTTTGTTGGATTGTGTGTTTGTTTGTTCATGTATTTTGGTAATAAGGTATTGTGTATTTATTTATTTTTTGTTGGATTGTGTGTTTGTTTGTTCATGTATTTTGTATTGATTGTATTTGTTGAAGAGTATGTTTGTTTGTTCATTGTGTTCTTTCTTTTTCGTCTTTTGAATGTAGATGTTATGACAGTATTGTTATGTGTGCAGAAATGTTGTAGAAGAAGACTTGTCATAAACCATCGTCTTCGTCCGTAATTACCCTTGTCAAATGCTGTCACAGGCAGTCACTCATCGAGACGAATCTTGTAGGCCTACGAGCATCATGGTTTTCATAGCTAACAATCTTCAGCTGTTTTGCAATCCGATGTCATGTAGGCCTATGTTGATCTGTATTTGCCCTGGTTTCTGCTCTCTTCGACTTTTCCTGTGATGGCGAGGGAGGGAGAGAGAGAGAGAGAGGGAGAAAGAGAGATAAGAGAGAGAGATAAAGAGAGAGAGATAAAGAGAGAGAGAGAGAGAGAGAAAGAGAGAGATATAGATAGATTGATAGATGATAGATAGATAGATAGATAGATAGATAGATAGATAGATAGATAGATAGATAGATAGATAGATAGATAGATAGATAGATAGATAGAGTTAAAGCGATTGAAACAAGTAGAGAGAGAGAGAGAGAGAGAGAGAGAGAGAGAGAGAGAGAGAGAGAGAGAGAGAGAGAGAGAGAGAGAGAGAGAGAGAGAGAGAGAGAGAGAGTCAAAGTCCCGCCTGACGAAGGAACGAAAACTTCAAGCTTTGCCTGACGATGGGGGTAGAGAGGGGAGGGAGGGAGGGGGGAAGGGGTGGGGGGGAGAGCTCGTTTTTCCTCGCCGGTGGGGAAGTTTGACCGCAGTGGTTGTACTCTTTTCTTTACTCTTATCTTTACTCTTTTTTCTCTTTTCTTTACTCTTTTTCTTTATCTTTTCTTTTTTTACTCTTATCTCTACTCTTTCTTTTATTTGTTTTTTTACTCTTATCTTTACTCTTTTTTCTTATCTTTACTCTTTTTCACTCTTATCTTTACTCTTTTTTCACTCTTATCTTTACTCTTTTTTACCCTTATCTTTAATCTTTTTTCACTCTTATCTTTACTCTTTTTGTACCCTTATCTTTATTTTTATTTTGATTTATTTATTTTATTTATTTTCCCTGCTGATTTTTTTCTTTTTTTTAGCGGTTTTGTTTCTGTTTCTGTTTGGATGTCGTGTTTTTTTCTGGCTTTTTCTTTCTCTTTTGTGCTTGTTACCTGTTTCTCAGTCGGGTAATTTTTCTCTCTCTTTCTCTCTCACTTCCCATTCTTCTCCCTTCCCTCTTCCTCTTCCTTCTCTACCCACTTACCCCTCTCCCTTTCCTATCCTTCTCCCCCTTCCCCTCCCCCTCCCTCTTCCCCCCCTCCCTCTTTCCCTCCCCCTCATTCTCCCATTCCCACTCCCCATCCTTCTTCCTCCCCCTCCTCTCTCCCTTCCCTCTTCCTCTTCCTCTCCCTATCCCCTTCCCCGTTCCTCTTCCTTTTCCTTCCTCCTCCCCTCCCCACCTAACCCTCCCTCCACTCCTTATCCTTCTTCCTCTCCTCCCCCACTTATCCTTCTTCCTCTCCTCTCCCTCTCCCTCCCCCATTCATCCTTCTTCCTCCCTCCCTCTCCCTCTCCCTCCCACACTTCTCATCCTTTCTCCCTCCCCCTCCCCCTCTACCTCTACCCTCCCTCCCTCCCTTTGTTTACACGAATATATACTCTGAGAATGTTATCTCTAGGCGAGGGGGGGGGGAGAAGATGGGAGTAAGGATAGGTAAAGGAAGGAAAAGGTAATGAGAAGGATCAGTATTCAGAAAAAAAAATAAAAATATCAGTGAAGTCCCTGTCAGTATCCAGGGGAAGGAAGAAGGGTGAAGAGGGAGAGAGGAGGAAGGAAGGGGGGGGGAATAGGGAAGGAGGGAAAAAAGAGGAGGAGGGAAGGAGGAGGAGGAGGTAGGTACATCTACCTTCCTCCAACCCTCCCAACAATCCCCAAATCCCCCAACCCTCCCTTCCCTTAACCCCCTCCCTCTTCCCAACCTCCCAACCTTCCCCCCCCCAAACCCGCCTCCAAGCTTCCCCCCTTTCCCCAAACCCTCCCCTTCTCCCAACCCTCCATTCCTTCTCCCCCCCTCCCCCCCCTCTCCCCCCCTTTCTCTCTCCATCCCCCTCCCCCCTTTCCCCATCCCCCCTTCTTAGTGAAATTAGGGCGCCGGTCATTGAGCCAAAAGTGACCTGTATTCGGGCTTTCGATGAATAGAAATGACCTTTTTTGTTCCTCTTCTTCCTCTTTCCTGCCACTTCCCCCTTTCTCCCTTCTTCGTTGGCTTTTGCGGTTCGTTCTAATCCCTTCCTTCTTCTTTTTTTTTTCTTACGTTCGGTCTTCTCTTTCCTTCGCTTGTCTTCGCTATCTTTCTTATCTTGTCTACCTTTCTTCCTTTCTCTCTCTTCACTAATCTTTCTTCCCTTCTTCTCTCCTTCTCTTCATTTCTTTTCCTCTTTACCTTCCTTCCTTTTTTTCCCTTTCTTCTCTCCTCCTTCCTTCCTTCCTTCCGTCCTTCCTTCCTTTTTCTTTCTTTTCCTCCCTCCCTCCCTTCCCTTCCTCCTCCCTCCCTTCCTTCCTTCCTTTCCCTTCCTTCCTTTCTTCTCCTCCCTCCCTCCCTTCCTACCTCCTCCCACCCTCCCTCCCTCCCTCCCTCCTCCCTCCTCTCCCTTCCCTCCTCCCCTCTCCTTCCTCTCCTTCCCCTCCTTCTCCCCCGCCACCCTTCACCTTTCCCTTCCATTCCTCCTCTCCTTTTTCTCGTCTCTCCTTCTACACCCTCCCAAGACGCTGCGGCCAAGACTGGGCGAAAGAAAGTGGTTCTCGTCCACACGTTTAAACTCCTGTTTTTTTTTTCCCCTTTTGTGTCTTGTCGAGGCGCCCGCAGACACGCACGCCCTTGTGTGTGTGTGTTTGTGTAGCGGGGAGGGGGGGGGGAAGGGGAGGGGGGTGGGTTGGGGTGGTGTTTGTAGAGGAGTTGAGGGAGGG